ACAGGACATGGAGAGTTTGTGTATTCTGGCGAGGGATAATGTTATCCTCGAGTGGATTTTATAAAACTTGTAAACAGACTGAAAGTGCACCTGTTATTTTTGAATGTTTAGGTACAAAGCGTGTGCTACTATACTAATTTTGAAGAAAGATAAGAGACTGTTTGCAGTCTGGTAATTTTTATCAAATGCACTCCTTGCGTCATTTTCTAGAACAGATCAACACCTTTGAGTGTTTTGCTGAAAACTTGGAAGACCTGTCATAGATGATGGCGGAGGTAAAATTATTTGATGAAAAAATACAAATATAGACAGAAAAATGTTGTAGTAACAAGAATAAACCTTTAAGAAATTTCTATTTTTTTACCAATGAACGAGTGTATTTTCCACTGTCTTAGAATGCACTTCATGTATCTTACTACAAGTAACACGAAATGAACTTGGCGTCTCTTTCTAATGACGTCACAATGTTCTATGGTAAGCAATTGTCATTCCCAGGCTTTATTTCTTCTCAAGATGAAGAAGGAAGCCTGGAGATGAGCTGCATCAGCTGCGCTCCAATCGGCAAAAGCTTTGATAAAGCCGCGTAAAGGAATTTTTGCTGCAATATTTAGATCATCGGTTACCTAGCAAAGCAGAGGCACCTGCAGATATTGCACGTTATAAAAGCGATATATAAATAACGTAACGCTTTAAATTGTTGTAATTATTTAGCTAAAATAGTTATTAAAAATAAAGTATAAGTCGGACTTTCCTACTTTTTTCTTGTTTAACTAACGGTGCTTTCCGAAAGTCAGAACTGGCCGGCCGGACCAGGGCCGGACCAGCCATTTTTGCGATGAAATGGGCTTTTTCCAAGACGTTTTGCTTAAAAACCGTCTCCTTTGTACGTAATATTTAGGTTTTGAATGATCTGGATAGATAGTTTTGATTAAAAGTGAAATTCTTATTACGATGGGAATGGGCTGGCCTGTTGGTTCTGACAAACTGAAAGCGCCCTAAGTAACCCTTTTTATCCTTGGGGAGTAAGGATCGGGGAGGTTGCGTTGGACAGCTAGGATAAGATACCTCATATTCGACATTGGAAGTGGCCTAAAGGCGGGGGAGGGGGTACTCCCTTAAATCAGCCACATAGGTATGCGTCGTCCCAAAGAGTGGGGGTTTTGCGCCGTTTTGGTCTGAAAACGGGTATACTTTTTGTAGGATTCCGGATTCCTTGAGCTGTATTCCAGATTCCAAAGCCCGGGATTCCTGATTTCACAAGTTTGAGGCAAGGGAGGGGATGGTCTGGTCTGGTTTTAGAGGAGATTTTTTTGCCTCTTTGGAATAACTGTAAATGTTGGAAAGAAACGTAACTGACGTCCGAATTTGTTATCGAATGGGTCATTTAGTCATTAAGTGATGCGTTATATAGCGCACACAGAAATACTTTAATGAAAGCAAATTTCAGCGTAATGAGCGAGCGGCCAATATTTGCATCTTATGACGTCATGATGCCCGTACAGAAATTTTTGGCGGGAAACAGTGATATTGTTAGATGGGCTGTTAGATGCGCTCTCTTCAATGCTCTGTGACCTCGAAGTTGCCATTGAGCGGGCTGTTGAAGAAAAACACGCCAGCTGTATAAAACGATCATTTTGCACAACTTAGAAAATGCTGAGAACAGCCTCTAACTTTCCATTAATGCGGAAGTTTAAGACCAAATTTTTCAGTAAATTTATTTTCATTTTTATCACCGTTTTACGTAAACAATTTGAAAAGATTTAGAGCTGGGCACGACATGAGGTGCTAAGAGAATTCCTGGCAGTACTGATTCACACGACCTAGCTGCCACTGTTTTGGTTATTCCTGCTGTCGGCTGCTTTTTCCCACGATGATAACTTTGTTATTATTGTTTTCTTCCAATGCCCCCATTATCAATAGCTGATGAGATAAACCCAGTTTAACAAAAATAACAAATGTCTATTTGTAAAAAGCTGAAAATCTGCAGTCATAAAAAAGTGATGCTTTTAGGCCCCTTTCTTGCTTATCACTATTATTTTTTTCGAAGACAAAACTACAGTAAGATTTTATTAGCCCAAAGACGGAACCCTTAATTCCAAGTTTGTACGTGCAGACGATTAATTGCAATTGTTACACTGTTGTTACTCACTTATAATAACCTTTTATTAAAAGACAACGTGAATCTATCAAGTATTTTAACATCTGTAGAATCCACTTTTCTTTTTTATCCATACTAAGCCAAATGTTGTAAGCAAAAAAAATCCCAACTTTATATAAGTATTTTTTCAAGGGATTTATCCATGGTTGTTCAGTTAGAGGTTTTTAATGTTGCGACTTTACTTAGAATGGGCTTGGCCTGTTTAAAAATTCCTTAAACGTGAGCACGTAAATTGGCTGATAATTTCAAGTAGGCTTTGTATATCAATGTCGTTGTTTTATGGACATTACGCCACATAAATATGGTCGTTGATAGAGTGGTTGAGTTGGCATTTCAGTGCTAATCGTGTCTAGCATAGATATTTAATACCACAAAACAAGACATCTGATTCTTGTTATTCTAACTTCTTTCAGTAAATAACTCAGATACATTACGCTGATAGCGTTTTTGACCAATCACGACCAAAAAGCCAACTAAAGTTTTGTAAACACAGATTATACGATTAACACTCCATGAGACCACGATAATTGACACAATTATCTTAAATTCAGACCTCCTTGTTAGCGAAAAAGTTATAACGAGAACATTAAAAAGCATTGCGGAATTTAACAGCTTTTAAGGTTGCTTTGCCCAGGCTTGGGCGTGCGATAAAAATGCTTCAACAGTTTACCACCAACAGCTTCGAGCTCTATTTAAGAACATGGCCAAGATCGTCGGCGTTTAGAAGACCAGAACGGCATGAGAAAGCCCCAGCAACGAAAAGTTTCATGATCGATGATATTTTGAAGAGGGTGGAACCGGCAAAAAAGAGCAAGGAATATAGTGAACTCTGTAAGTAAATCGAAGTCTTGTCTAGTTACAACTTTTAAGACTCCAAGTTACTTCGTGTCCCGTTTTAAGTTGTTTGTAAGACAGTGTTGCGTGGCAAATCTTAAAGAAGTGTATGATGCACATTAGCCGGCTTTAGTGTTTTATCGCCGAGATTCATTTGCTGCTTTGGTTTCTTTTTGAATGGAGTTACACGATTTTTGTCGTTTGCTTGTAACATGTTGAAAAATTAAGCCGTTTTATTGTTTGGCAACAAATTTGTTAAACTGCCGACGTCTTCTTGTTGAATTCACAAATCGACGTCATTTAATAAAATTTGCTGTGGTTGCCGAACCACTTAGCAAACAGGAAAAACGACAAGCAACACAGGAAAGTATCCTGAATCCTTCAATTAAGAGGTTTCACTTCAAAATTTGAAAGTTCAAGATTATAAGAGTAAGAGAAAACAAAATGCCACCCTTTTGGAAGTCAGTTGGTTGCAATCAAGTTGGTAAATTTAGTCTAGAGGCGACAAGGCGGGGTGACGGCTTTAAAACAGTCTATGGTGCCACCAACATGGAGTTATAGTGAACTTGAAATTCCAACTAAAGTGTTTTTATCAGTGGTAATTTCCTATAAAGATTAGTCTGGCGTTACCAATGCATCAAAATTGTTACAAGCCGTGTCGTTGTCTAAGGACGGCCATTGTCACTGTATTTGAGAAAAATGGATTGTCGCTATTTCTGTTAATAACTCCTTGGTTCTCGCTCTTGAAAGCAGGTATAGCGAAACCATAAGTGAATCCCGCAGAACAAGTCATGCCACTCCGGGAAAAGCGTTTTCAGAACTCAGTTATAGAGTTGCAAGTTAGGCGGGTGGAAGGTAGCGGGGAACAGAGGCAGCAAACGATGAAGTAGGAGGATCCATTGTATTTCAAAACTCTTTATGACAACATCATCATCTTTTTCAAGTCACACCTACCTCGAAAATTTCTTCTGGCGAACTGTGTATCAGCTTCAAAGTATTTCTAATAAAATTATTCCTTGACGGAAGTCTATGAATAAAATTTTCAACGTATGGTACAAGAATTAAATGTCAGAATTTTAATTTTCGCAGCATACATCTGGAGTGGTCACATGCCAACTTTTTCTCTATATCAAGCTAATATGGACAAGCTAGACGCCTGTAAGTATAAACCTCTCGCTTTGATTTTTTTTAGGGAAGAGTGAAAATCCCGGGGGGGGGGTACTCCCCTATATAAGCCATATATGTATGTGCCGCCCCAAGGGGTAGGGTTCTTACGCCGTTTTGGTCTGAAAACGGGTAAAGACTTTGCCCACTTGGGTCTGGAATCGGGTACGGTTCTCGAGGGAACTCGTAGGAGTGCATGAACGTGTTCATCGTTTCAATTCCACGGAGGTAGAAAGAAAGAGATATATGAGAACGTGAAATCTTTTCCGTTCTTGTTCTAATCAAGGTAATAATAAAATAATTCCTTAGACGCCAAGTCTGAAAACGGGTGTGGATTTTAGAGGCCAGGTGTGAAGAGGGGTGTAAAAAATTACATTTTTTGGTCTGAAATAGGGTCAAGATTTGGAGAACCGGGTTGCACACCCCACCAATAATTCCCAGGAGTACCTCCCCGGGGAAAATCTTAACCGTTTAGGGGTTTTATTGGGTCAGAGACTGGTTCACTCAAGAGAAGTACACGTGGACACAAGAAGTATGGCAAATGATCTGATAGAAACCCGTGGCGTGTGTTTAATATTGGTAGCCCAAGCGGGGAGGTTTATTAGATATTAGGCGTTTAAATATTGGTAATAGGACTGAGTGGAGTCCAATTGGGCCGTAACCATACGAGTGATTAACAAAATCGAACGACCGTGTAGTGGGGATCCGATTTGTTAACTCACGAGTATGATAACAGACCGAATTGGAGGACACAAAGTAATGAACCATTACAATTTCCAAAAAAAATAAATGGATCCCCTTTTCTGAAGGAGTTTTTAATACCAATTACCCAAAATTACGGACAAGTCACTGGTAGACACAATCTCATGTTACAAATTTCGTCCATTTTGGAAAATCCCCTGTTTGGTAGGGTAATTGGTTATTGCTATAATTATTGTGATAAATTCTGCGATTGGTGGATTTAGCTGAGTGCACTCAATATGATTGGCTGATATAACTGTTCGATTACAGGTGTCCGATTACAGCCGACTGTCCGATTTCAACCCTAGACAATAATTAGTGAAAAATAATTTTAAGTTTTACTTTAGGTTTTTAATAAAGCAGTTAATGCACCAATCAAATTGAGGAAATTGTAATGGTTGCGATTAGACAGAGAGGCGTTTATTCTCATAACTGTAACAAACTCCACAGAATAATCGGCTTTCGGCGAACTCATCACCACGGCAGACTATATATCCAGTAGTCCATCCACTGATACATCTAAGCCGCTTAGAGATCAGATCCTTAGTTTGAACCTGACACTCAACAGCTAGGGTGTAATGCGCAGACTCTTGTCAAACAAAAAAACAAAAAATAATTGAAATGATTTTGCTCTATTTTACTATTTCCTATTATTATGGAGCAACTGTCATGGGGGGCGTATTAGACAAGAGGCGTTTATTTGAGAGGACGTCTATTAGATAATTTACGCTGAAACTCGAGACTTTTTATACGTCCAACCTAAACGCATTTACCCCTCATGATAAGAAAAAAGGATCAACATTGAAGCTTGGCAGTTCCTGAAAACGAGACAAAAACGGCTCTTGAAAGAACATTATGGTATTTTAGGAAAAAAAATTTAAAAACCCGTTTTTGACATGACATGTATTTCTGTATTTAGATGCAACACAAGCAAGCCAGAGGAAAACTGAGGTGGTATGCCCAATACCGAAGTATTTTCGCGCCTTTTTGCACGATAGCCGGCGTTTCCGCAGAACACGCACAGTCTTCACGCGTGCGCAGCTTCACGAACTGGAAGAAAGATTTGAACGCGAAAAATATCTCTCCACGCACGGAAGGAAGGACTTTGCACGACAACTAAAACTCACGCCGTTGCAAGTGAAGACGTGGTTTCAGAACCGGCGAATGAAATGGAAGAAGGAAATGTTGAGGAAAGACCCGAATGCTGTAACAACGCGAGCGAAGGGTCGCCCCAAAAAGGACGAATTCTGATTGTATAGATGTAAACAAAGTTTTCATAAAGAAAAAAGTATAAAAAGGAGGCGGGAATTTGCGAGCGCAAAAATAATTCATGCGCGTGTTTACTCGCGTAAGATGCTGCAGTTGTAGTCAACGTTTTGAGGTGTAACTTTTGACGTACCGAAATAGAATTTAGTTTAGAATTATCAAGTTGTAATGTCACGTTATGTCAGTAGAAGCCTTATCTTGTTGTGCTTTTTTGTAATAATTGCGTTGATAAGTTTTAAAAGGTTTTTAATTGTACATTTAGGGGCTTTGGGTTTCATTATATTGTTTGAGTTATATTTGCTAATAATGAGGAGAACAGGAAAGTATTGCTCAGTAGTTTTCATCTGAATAGCGTAGCCACACTTTCAAAGGATTTCATCCAGAGACTCAAAAGTTAGAACCGACTTGTATTGCATAATTTTTTAAACGGTACCACATGAAAGTAATGATCAGTAGCTGTTACAGGATTTCATTCACAGATTCATAAGCTGGTCTGACTAGAATGGGTAGCAAACTGGAGAAAAGAGCTAAGAACTGAGATGAATAAATGTTAATAACGACATCGGTCTTTTGCAATCTGTCAGTGGGACTAAATGCTGGTTGATTGAATATAAGAAGGCATTTATTCTCTCACGGTAGCTCCTGTCAAGGAAAAAAGTTTAGTTTTGGTTAGAAAAAATTGATAAATGAAAATAAAGAATATAATACATCTGTTTAGCCATGCGTCAATTTCACTGAGGTTCTTCGACGATATGTTCCTGGCGTTTCGAGCCAGACGCTTTATCTTTGCTTTTTACTGCAAGAGAACGAGAAAAAGCTGTAACAACATTTGTTAACTGAAAAATTATTCAAAATTGTGCTCCAAATGACGAATTATACCAAACATCATGCTAGCACAATCTATCAAAGCCTAACCACGTATAGTGGAAATTTGTCTGGAAGTTTGTCTGGAAGGTTTTCCGAAAGTTTGTCTCAAGTTTTTCTGGAAGTTTAGCCAAAACTTTGTCTGAAGATTTGTCCGAAAACCTATTGATATTCTACCATTCTCGTTGCCGTCGCCGTTGCTTAAGCTAACTAATGATTGACAGACAACGTAGTGTACTCACATTTTTCGTATTCAAGTCTTCTGTTAGTACGGCGCATGAGAAAGTTGATAACTCCTTTCTGTTTAGTCAAGTGGCATATGTAATCACATAGCAGGAGGAAGAACACACTGGCTGTAATCACAACGATGATGGCAGCCATCTTCATGTCTAAGGATCAATTTAATGAAATCTGTTTTAGTCCTTAGAGCGGTTTTCATTTGAGTGTCGAAAAGTAATTGGTTTTGCACTTTCTACACGATGCGATTGGCTTAAAAGATTCGCGCCACCTTTTCATCCAATCAGAAGTAAAACCAAAGCCAACTGTGACGCGCTCGCATGCATTTTCCCGCGCTTTGCGTCAGCCACATGTAATTACTTCGAGTTTTGATTGGTTCAATGTATTGTCCGTGTCCTATGTGATTGGCCAGAGTAATTACTTTGGTTTTGGTTTTACGACACTCAAACGAAAACCACTCTAAACAGTGAGTGACACTGGAAGAATTCCTTAAGTTAAGTACAATTCAGTGTAAAAATAATTTTCAATCTTCATTCTCTTATATGAATCACTCTCTGGATCTTCAAGGTCAACGAAAACGAATACTTTTCTGAATCACTTTCTGAAAACCTGTGGAATTAATGAGTAAAAGCTATGATTGGCTGAGATATTTGGATGAGATACAGTGAAACCTGTATTAAGCGGACACCCTCGGGGAATGCTGTATTGTCCACTCAATACAGGGTGTCCGCCTAATACAGGTTTCGAGGGACCTCATATGAGGTGTCAAATGCCATTCAAATGAACAGTGGAAACGTTTAGAATACTCCCAGAGGCCATGACGATATACGTTTGCATTAATTTCTTTATTAAAGTGGACCAGTTGTTCATAGTACCATAAACATAGATTGCGACTCAAATTTGAAGAAATCAAATGAGTGAAACAAGCTCTATACAAACAAAACGAAATGGAAAACAATACTGTACTGTGAAACTATTCAAATAAGTTCGTCAAGTCACGTTTTTGAAAGCAAAAATCGAAAAATTTGTTGCTGTCAATTTAAGGCAATCTTTCGCATTTCTGGTGTCTGGCATGTTGGGTGGTAGAATTGGATTACAAGTGTCCGTTTAATACAGGTTGGCAACAATAGAAAGGACCATTTCAGGTACTTTTCAGTTGTCCGCGTCCGCTTAATAGAGGTGTCCGCTTAATAAAGGTTTCGTTTACAGTAAATATGGGAAATAAATTTTGGGACTTCGGTTACTGTCCGCTTAATAGAGGGTGTCCGCTCAATACGGTGTCCGCTTAATACCGCTTAATACATGTTTCACTGTATTTTTGACGCCAAAGATTAATCTGTAAGTAGCATAAAGGTTTGTTTTTAATGCGATGTGGCCCAGGTCTTATAGGAGAGATGGAGGTTTCGAGGTTATTTTCTCCTGTATAAGCCCAAGGGAGACTATTCCAGAAAATGGTCTTGGCCCGCCGGGGATTAGTTTCTTGGCCATGGATTTTATTTTTGGACCAAATTTGGGCCTGTCATGATCATAATGGGAAGAGGAATACAAATTCCGCAAGAAGACAGTGTTTTACCTCTTGGCTTTTCTCCACAGTGCTTTCCGTTCCCACCATCTACAGCGTCTGCGATCTTATGCCCTGATTGGTCCACGCACCAGCACGTGTCCAGATGAATAGAACATTGGATCACGTGATACGCACCGTTTGCATTGCATCGAGGCAGAAATTCGAGTCGCAGTCTTGGGTCACGCGCAACGATGCGGTCTCGTTGACATTGCGTGGAATCTAGAAGATATCATAGTTCGTTTAAAACCGCCAAAATCCTGAATCTTTACCAATGAGGGGTTCTCTCCTAAAGAGAGAGTTGTGCTCATTCCGGTATGGTTCGAAAGATCTCTTCACTCTGCACAAGTCAGCGAAGAAAGTTGTCCTTGACCGTTAAAACTGATGACGTCACAAAGGGTAGAAAGGACCTGGATCCGCACGGGCGGTTACGGGCGGTTCAGGGGCGAATGGGTTAATCAAAAAACCTAAAAATGGCCTTTTACCAAGTTTTTCAACTGATTTTACATGAAATAGACAGATTTGGTTGTTTTATGCTGAAAAGTGGATTATTTTCAAAAAGCTTGGTACTTTGCTTAACCCATTCGCTCCTGGAGATTTTGCCGAGGGAACGAAGTTGGGTGTCATCAAAACCGGGTAGAATTAAGCTGATATGGAATTAATCAGTTTTGTTTGTATGGCTAAATTTTACCACCCCTAGTTGAGTGGAACAAGTCAGTCATCCCGGGCACCGGCAATCGTTTCAAGAGGTCTTTTCCGAAAGTAGGGGGCAAGGGAAATGGAAAATAAAACTTCTCAGTGTGCCTACTGGTAGTCTGCGTGGCAGGTGTTTGAAAGTGAAGGGATAGGGGTTTTAGGCGCGAGAGAACGCGAAGGGAGCGCGAGGAGGAAGGGAGAAAAAACGCCTGCTACGCAGGCTAGGGTGCCTGACCGCGTGGACACGTCCACGCCTCATGAGAGGAGATATCTCAGATTTGTGGCTGACTATAGAGAAAAGAATTAAAATCTGTCGTTCAAAGCAAGTTCTAAAGAGTTTAGCCTGCAGAAAAGGCGTCATTTGTTTTAGCTTTTCTTTCAAAGGAGCATCACCGTGATACTGAAGGCTAAGCGCGAGGAGGGTGTGGAGCGCGAGTTCGCTTGCTGGTGCTTCACGCACCCTCCACGCCCGCACGCGCCTGCCATCTGACCTCGTCTCCAGGGGTTTTCCCTTCAAAAATGGGAAGGGCCCATTTTTAAGGGAAGAAATACATTATATTCTTTCGCACTGATTATAGGGATCAGGAAAAAAATACAAGCCTGAAGGCGGTTGCGTTGCAACCTTTGCTTAACGCAGAAACTTACTTTTCGTTTTATCCTCCTGAAGCTTTATCGTGATGTCACCAAATCCTAGTCTGTTTCGGGCTCTACACTTGTAGTCGCCAAAGTCAATGTCACGATAGGGAGTCACGCGTAACGCACTCACTCCGTCCATATTTTCTACTTTCTGTACACAGTACTTGCAATTGGTGTCCAGTTTCTTGCCGTCTTTTGTCCAGTGCACCTTAGGTGGGGGGTTACCAGTGTAAACGCAATTTAATGTGCTTTCTTTTCCTAGAGGAGTAGTTTTTACATGGCCTGAACGGCTTTTGTCGATGCGAGCCTTTTCCACTTTAGGCGACACTAACAAAAGTGAGTATAATCTGGGTCAGTTTTACAGTCTGGATAGCAAACAACCGTATGAGTATAAAACATTAGATGACGTTCACTTTCAACAAGAAATGACTGAGCGATTTCACACAAAAAATATTCCAATTCCGAGCAGCCCTTATCCTAAGCACAAAGACAAAGTTTTTAAAAAAAATTCTTTAAACATAATTTGCGATTTCTTCGATCTGTAAAATTAAACATGGATAATAAAATTTCGACGAGCAATGACAAGTTTCCATATGTAGTACCAAGGAGTGAATGTACTCTCCCTTAACTTCCCTTACCTGGACTTAAGAAGCAATACATCCATAAAGTGATGAAAACCGCTGTTTTCATGACATGACTGACGATGCTTTCTTACAAAAGAAAAGCTTTCTTCAACTGTGACGTAATAAAAGGGCTCGCGCTAACGATATGCACGTATCATCACGCGCGCGCTCGCGAAAAAGACGTATCCCCGCTTAACTTAATAAAACTGCTGAAAAACAAAAAAGAAAAAACTCTTTGAATGCAGAGGTCCACACAACACGTAAATATAACTGACTGGTTCCTATTCCCGGATCTCTAATTAAAGAGATGCTGTAGCCCAGCTGTAGCCAGACGTCACTTAAAGTGTAAAATAAAACAAAACCGAATAGCTCTGGACCAGAGGAAGGCTAATTTTGTCAGCCGAAATATTGGCCTATAATAAATCAGCCCTTTGCCGTAGTGCCAGCCCTGTATTCAGTTTGTTTTATTTTTCTGCAAAACAGATTTATTTTCACTTGTTTTGACTTTGCGTGGACACTAAAACGATCTTATCAGAGACTCTGGAACTCCCGAGATTTATGAAAATATGAGAGTTCTGAAACGGCCTCTGCTTGAATAATTCATTGCATTTTTCCAGCAATATTTGTTTAGAATCTTGGCAAAAGAAAATTTTTCTTTCTTCGCCACTTTGGCTGATGAATCTCGGAATAACCTTATGGGTAGCAGAACACGTATTACAAAACATATATTTTATAAAATATTTTACGTGTAAGCTGAAGTAACAATTTTCAATAAATTATCTAGATAAGCAAGAGAGAATGAGCTCATTCTCTCTTGCTATAAGTAATTTAAGTCATAGTGTGTTTTTTTATTTTCATGGAAAAATCGTAACCTCGACTGAACTTTCAACCTCGGAGAAACATGGGCAGCAGGAGCTTGGGCAGCTAATCGGGACGGAAAGCAGGGGGACCCCCGGATATCACAAAGTGCCAAGAGATCGGGATCATTAAACTTCCGTTATAACGGGGGTACATTATACCAGAGTCCTAGACATTTTACTATAACTGGAGGCAAAGCCTATTATTGGTTACACCCGGGTTCGATTATTTTCTCGTGAGTCAAATAATTGCTTTCAAAGTTCACAGAATCAACAATCATGTTGTTGAATGATATCTGAAAAATACCTGTTTGCTCTTTTTTTAATAGCATAATCTAGGTAATACATACCACGTGGTCATTATATTTTCCCGCCATTTTCACCGTTTAATGCCGCTTGTACGGTGGAGGGGAGATCTTTGAATTACATAAAGAAAAAAGTATAAAAAGGAGGCGGGAATTTGCGAGCGCAAAAATAATTCATGCGCGTGTTTACTCGCGTAAGATGCTGCAGTTGTAGTCAACGTTTTGAGGTGTAACTTTTGACGTACCGAAATAGAATTTAGTTTAGAATTATCAAGTTGTAATGTCACGTTATGTCAGTAGAAGCCTTATCTTGTTGTGCTTTTTTGTAATAATTGCGTTGATAAGTTTTAAAAGGTTTTTAATTGTACATTTAGGGGCTTTGGGTTTCATTATATTGTTTGAGTTATATTTGCTAATAATGAGGAGAACAGGAAAGTATTGCTCAGTAGTTTTCATCTGAATAGCGTAGCCACACTTTCAAAGGATTTCATCCAGAGACTCAAAAGTTAGAACCGACTTGTATTGCATAATTTTTTAAACGGTACCACATGAAAGTAATGATCAGTAGCTGTTACAGGATTTCATTCACAGATTCATAAGCTGGTCTGACTAGAATGGGTAGCAAACTGGAGAAAAGAGCTAAGAACTGAGATGAATAAATGTTAATAACGACATCGGTCTTTTGCAATCTGTCAGTGGGACTAAATGCTGGTTGATTGAATATAAGAAGGCATTTATTCTCTCACGGTAGCTCCTGTCAAGGAAAAAAGTTTAGTTTTGGTTAGAAAAAATTGATAAATGAAAATAAAGAATATAATACATCTGTTTAGCCATGCGTCAATTTCACTGAGGTTCTTCGACGATATGTTCCTGGCGTTTCGAGCCAGACGCTTTATCTTTGCTTTTTACTGCAAGAGAACGAGAAAAAGCTGTAACAACATTTGTTAACTGAAAAATTATTCAAAATTGTGCTCCAAATGACGAATTATACCAAACATCATGCTAGCACAATCTATCAAAGCCTAACCACGTATAGTGGAAATTTGTCTGGAAGTTTGTCTGGAAGGTTTTCCGAAAGTTTGTCTCAAGTTTTTCTGGAAGTTTAGCCAAAACTTTGTCTGAAGATTTGTCCGAAAACCTATTGATATTCTACCATTCTCGTTGCCGTCGCCGTTGCTTAAGCTAACTAATGATTGACAGACAACGTAGTGTACTCACATTTTTCGTATTCAAGTCTTCTGTTAGTACGGCGCATGAGAAAGTTGATAACTCCTTTCTGTTTAGTCAAGTGGCATATGTAATCACATAGCAGGAGGAAGAACACACTGGCTGTAATCACAACGATGATGGCAGCCATCTTCATGTCTAAGGATCAATTTAATGAAATCTGTTTTAGTCCTTAGAGCGGTTTTCATTTGAGTGTCGAAAAGTAATTGGTTTTGCACTTTCTACACGATGCGATTGGCTTAAAAGATTCGCGCCACCTTTTCATCCAATCAGAAGTAAAACCAAAGCCAA